GCAGTTGAGGTGGTACATGCGAGAATCATTCTTATTCTTATTCTTCTTATTTACAATAAAACATCTCGTGTAACATCATTGTGTTGTCCTCTTTCTTTTCCAGGGACATTAACCCTCATATCCCACAGTATATCTCATCAGTGCCGTGGTACATCGACCCTTCCAAAAGGCCTACATTAAAGCATCAGAGACCACAGAGTGAAATTCAGCAACAGTATTCATCCATTGGAGAGTGGTACAAGAGAGGAGTGCAAGAGGTAAGGGGGAATCAATAAGTCAATTTCACCTGGCTGATAAAAGGAAAATCAAAGTCAATCGCTTTTTGTTTTTCCATCTAAACAGAATAATGTCACCACTAAATTTCGCAAGGGAGCTTGTGAAAACTGCGGTGCGATGACGCACAAAAAGAAAGACTGCTTGGAGGTAAAATTGATGAACGAACTTTCACTGGCAACTTTACAAGAGCTTTATTTCCCTTTCTTATCAAGCAATATAAAGAATCAGATATATATTCCATGACCTTCTCCTTTCATATCATCAGCGTCCGAGAAAAGTTGGAGCGAAGTTCACAGGCACAAGCATAGCTCCAGATGAACATTCTCAGCTACAGCTTGACCTGGACTATGATGGGAAGCGGGACCGCTGGAACGGGTATGATCCTGAGGAGCACCAGCGCATCGTGGAAGAGTACGCCAAAGTAGATCTGGTAAGCAGTCTGTATGTTAATATGAGTCACTGTCACTGCGGAGCATTTACTTTTTGGGAGCTTTAGGGAAGTAAAAAAAACATATATCCGCAGTCTCCAAAAGAAAATCTCTCGTGACAATAAATAGAAGCCTAATTCAAACATGCTTACTCCCTGTTTACTTCCTAAATGTGACTTTGTTTCTCCCTCTCAGGCTAAAAGGACTCTGAAGGCACAGAAGCTTCAGGACGAGTTGGCCTCTGGAAAACTGGACCCGACTGTGAGTATAATATCACGCTTGAATTGTGTTGGTGTCTAATTCAAGAAATAAAAAGTCCCTTATCTAGAGGGCTAACATTTCCTCCTCTGAATCCTATCTCTGCAGGAGCGGGAACACAACAGTGAGGACGAGGACGAAGACAAATATGCAGACGACATCGACATGCCTGGTCAGAACTTCGATTCCAAGAGACGAATCACAGTCAGGAATCTGCGTATCAGAGAAGACACCGCTAAAGTAAGCGACACGTCCACAAACATAGACCTGTTTTCCTGCTGAACTACTCCTTTTTATTGTTTGTTTTCTTTCCCCTAAATGTGATAATACTTGTGATGAGCCCTTTTGCTGTCTCTGTTTTCCACTGTCAGAGCGGATTATTCAAGTTTAATAAAGACGTGACTTACTCTGTCTCTCGCAGTACTTGAGGAATTTAGATCCAAACTCGGCATACTACGATCCAAAGACTCGAGCTATGAGAGAGAACCCGTACTCCAACACTGGCATGAACCCTGATGAGTACGTTTCTCTTACTGGATTCATCATCGTTTGCTTTATCGTCTTCCATTGAAATAACTTTTGATCTGTTTTGTGAAACAGGGTCGGATATGCTGGAGACAACTTTGCCCGCTATTCTGGGGCCACAATCAACATGGCTCAAACACAGTGTAAGTTATCAAAGAGAACTCCTCAGCTGATGTATAGATTAGAGTGTTTTAGAATGAAAGCTTTTCATTCCTGTGTGTCTAAGGATTAGCAGTGTCATGCTCCATGGAAATAAAACTAAAAACATTAATCAATTATCAGTGAGACACTATCATTTACACGGAGTGAAAACCTCAATATTGTGATTTAAAGATAAGCATTTAATTTCAGATTCCCATCAAAATGTGTCACTGAATATAAAGAGGTCGTCATTTTTTTTATCTTATAAGAAAGTGTAGATTTTTATGTAAATGGCTAAATTATTTTAGGAATAAAATGTCTAATCACATTTCAGCATGAAGACAGCTCTCTGGTATTTGTCAGTGGTTGGAGTTGTTATCTATTTAGTCACACAGCCAGCAGAACTGATTTGGAAGTTCTTGTAAGAGGAAAGAAGGAAATGTGCAGCAAATAAGATACAAACAGTAAATCTATCCCGCTTACAGAATCAGGATGTATAAGATGCACTTTTAACACCTATGTTTCACCTAAAAAGTTTGCCGCGTCCCATTTACCGGTGCAACCAATATACCAGTATAAAATGCGCACACATTGTCACGACCGTAAGTGCAGCAGAAGCCACCATCATCCACCGCACACGACCCGAACGCGTTGAAAATGTGCTGCGATGCAATGCAGACCAGACCGGCAACTTTTGATTGAAAGACTGCTCAGTTAAAGTCTCAAAAGAGACAACAAAGGCAGGAAACTGTTTTAAAACAAGTAATTGACTTTTTTTTAGTAAATGATTCTTAATGCTTTATGTGACAGTGTTTGCCTGGGAGGCCTATGAGAGAGGCTCTGAGGTGCATCTGCAGGCCGATCCCACCAAGCTGGAGCTGCTCCACAAATCCTTCAAAGTGAAGAAAGAGGACTTCAAAGAGAAACAGAGGGACGGCATCCTAGAGAGGGTATGCGGCTGGCAACTCTTATTTTTTTTTTTTTAGCATCTGGTTGCAAATATCCTGTCAAAGTGTGCAAAATGAAGGACACAATCTGTCAGACTTTATGACTGCAGTTTGAGTATAATACATTTCTCCTGATGGTGCTTGTGGTTTTTGTGTGTGACATCCAGTACGGAGGTGAAGAGCACTTGGATGCACCACCTCGGGAGCTGCTCCTGGCCCAGACGGAGGACTATGTGGAGTACTCTCGTCATGGTGCCGTGCTGAAGGGACTCGAGAAGGCCGTGGCGCGCTCCAAGTATGAGGAGGATGTACTCATCAACAACCATACAGTAAGGACAAGCAGAACACCTTGGCCTTGGTGCACAACTTTATTTAAAAAAAAAACAACACAATTTCTTTGTCTGTGTATTAAATGAAATGTTCTGTCCACAGTGTATTTGGGGCTCCTACTGGAAGGATGGCTTCTGGGGATTCAAGTGTTGTCACTCCATGGTCAAGCAGAGTTACTGCACAGGAGAGATTGGAGTTGGAATTGTAAGTAAATATTCTTGAAGTTTGAAAAGCTCGATTTGATACAGAAAGTGCTTTCGGTTTTCTAACTTCAACCCTGTTTGTCTTTGTTACCTAAAGAACAACCAAGACTGTGTTCCCTTTGAAGAGGGGCTAATCGAGCAAGAGGAGGAAGAAGAGCCAAAGTCGCTGCTGGAGGTAAGGCAAACCTAGAGGGTTCGAGACTCAGTGGATCATCTGTTGTGTTCTCGATTTTTAGTGAAAACTTGAGATCAAACGTGGGTCGGTGTTTTTAATCCTCAGATGCATCGAGATAAGATGAAGGAGAAGAAGAAGAAAAAGAAGAGCAAAAAGAATAAGAAGCACAACTCTGACAGCAGCGACTCAGAGGATGAGGAGAAGAAGAAGGAAAAGCTAAAGAAGGTAAAGTGAACTTTGTGTCTGATCATCTTCATCTCCTGGTTGATGTCCCTGTGGCTGACCTCCATTATGTTTCCTCCTCCCAGGCACTAGAAGCTGAGGACAAGTGGGTGAAGCACGTAGACGCCATAATGCAGCTGGATGAGAGGAAGAGGCCGTACAGCAGCCTGCAGGAAGTGAAGGCGCCCACTGAGGAGGAGATGGAGGCGTTCAGAATGAAGCGCTGCCGGGCAGATGATCCCATGGCCTCATTCCTGGGACAGTGACCTCCTGTAAATGTCTGCTGACTTCCCTGAACTCTCCCAAAGGACTCCACCAGAGCAGCTGCTCAGTGAAAAGCAGTCATATTAAACTCAACTGTCATCATGAGAATGAACAGCAGGAGCTTTCTGTTTTGTTACAGATGTGGCACAAACTTTGTACAGTGTTTTAGTGATCTCATTTTGCAACATATTTTGTTAGCGATGCTTAAAGATGGATGATAATGGTTAGTTGTCAACATAAATGCTTTTACTGTTATGAATGCATCATTTTTTAATAAACTTAAATCTCAATATTTTGTACTGTGTTGAAGGTTATTATTTGCACGTATTGGGCACATAGATTAACGTAAGTATAAACGTGCTATTGTGTTATTTTTCTGCTCTTTTGTTTGCCAAATGTTGAATCTGGATGTAGGTGGGTATAAACAAAGGAAGGGAAGTAATGTACAGTATAGCCCTGAAAAAATGTTTTTAGTCCCCAAGTTTTCTCTGCCAGTATTTGTAAGGAAGAGATCCTCTTAGCTCAGTAGATCCTTTTCTGCATGCAGAAACAGCAGATGCATTTAATCCTGCGGTGAAGTTACTGTCACCATGTTTGCAGATCACACTTTGTTTTTATCAAACAACAAAGTGTTTCTTTTACGTAATCTACACGACAGCTTGCATAGGCCCAAAGTAACTTCCTTTTGTCTGCGATAATCCTTTTTTATTTGAGACAGTAGTCTCACATAAACCTGCTGCACAACCACTGCTTATGTAAAATGTGCACATGGTTGTAGTTAAAGGTGAACACAGAAGATTTCTAAACACAGGGCACTGCCTCTCCCAACAGCTTGAACGTTTTTATTTGTCTCAGCTCTGCAGCACAGAGATAAACACATCCTATAAATTTCATAGACAGCACACGTTATACATTCCTGCAGACTACCTGTTTTTGTAACTTAACTTAAGAGAAAGCCATAATTTGAAGTGGACAGAGACGTAACTTAACCATGATTGCATAACAAATCTAGATGGCTATCCTCTACATGTTTTCCCATGTCTGTTTAACATCCTATTTTCCCATAGTAGAAGTTGATGCGTCACCACTAGTGCACTGACTTGAATTTAATGACTTCATGGTGAAAGTATTTTTTGGCAGTGTGCTTACAGGGCGGATATCATGGACTATGATTCTCTGGGCTGCACATTTGTCTGCAGCACTTCTCCCGAAGAATGCTTTCTCAACGCAGTATTGGAAAATCGTGTCGAGAAGTTTGTGCACGTTCATGCAAAAGAAGGACTTGGACAGAGCAGGAAGATGCCCATATGTCAGCTGGTGAGTTATTTCTCCACGTTTTCACTATTTCTCCTGCATTGCCTTTGAAAAAAAAACATGTTGTGGGCGCTGCGCTCTGCTTTGTGCATAACAGATGCTTCACATCTCTCAGTAAGCATGAGTCACAGTGTGGAACTGACCACACCATCCCAAAAACTGTTTACATGCTTTTTCATCTGACTAACTGGAGATAGTTTGCATGTACTCTGCCACCTCTCTCTCATTTTCAGCTTCCCTAACATAGGAGATTTTCTACGCGTAACATTAAATCAATTATATATTTTTGATTTACAACTGCCGCTCAAAAGAATCACTTTCTCTCATTTTGTTTGTCGGCTCCACAGTGACCATCATGCTCCAGATATGTGTGACCTTCTGTTTGCTGTCATCTGTCTTCTCCCAGTCAACGTCTACCTTACCCAAGAAGGGTCGAAACTTCACCATCCACTCCTCTCAACTGGTCTGCAGTTTGCCAGGCCCAGCAGGGCCACCAGGGAACCCAGGAGCCCTGGATCACCAGGGGCCATGGGTCCTATGGGGCCCCCTGGGAAGGACGGCCTAGATGGGAAGGATGGAGAGAGGGGTGAAAAGGGAAATGGAGGTAGATATTCTCTGAGTGTAATCCTAAAGTCAGAGCATTTTGTGGCAATTTAGGCAAACCCTAAATCCTAATTTACAACTCACCGGGAAACTTTGCTGGGAAAATACAAAAAACTAATCTGTTGGCCTGCATGCTGTACATCTCTCTTCAGGAAAAGTAATTCCTGCTGATGGTCTGGTTTGCTTTTTATATCAATGAGGTATCAATTTAAAATGGAAACAGTTTCATAACCATCTCCTCACAGCGGACTTAAACTAAGATTTAGTTAGACTAAATGTTGACCTGTCAGCGTGGCACATTATTCTGTTTTTAATTTAATAAGAAGTGCTAATAGAAATGATTTTGAACTAAGTTTAAAAGCTCTGCAACAAAGAAACAGTAGCTTTGATTGACCTAGCTGTAACTTTTTTATAAATACATTGAATCCTGTGCTGTAATTGGTATTCACTTTAGTTTTTATGCAGAGTAACTTCTCCTAAATCCTGAATCTATCATTATATATATCAACGTTACAATAATAACAGCACATTGTCTCGTGATCATTTCCATGTATTTGTTTGCATATACAGCCAATGTCTTTACAACAAAGAGTTTTTGCATGTTTAACATTCTTTTGCCCCTGTCCATAATTATTATGTTATCATACTGTCTCTTCTCAGGTGATCCAGGGAGGACGGGGAACCAAGGTAAACCAGGTGTGAAAGGGCGTGAGGGTGTCATTGGCAAGGCGGGGCCTCGGGGACTGAGGGGCTCAGGGGGTCACCAGGGATCACTGGAAAAAAAGGACAAAAAGGAGAGTTAGGGGACGTGGGCGAGCAAGGAGAACCTGGAGGCTGTAACTGTGCCGGTGCAGCCCGAGCAGCCTTCTCTGTGGCCATGACAAAGAGCTACCCAAAAGAGCGACTGCCCATCCGCTTCAGCAGGATCCTGCTGAACGAGGGGAATCATTACAACGTCAGCAGTGGGAAATTTGTTTGTGCCATCCCGGGGGTGTATTATTTCACTTATGACATCACTCTGGCTAATAAACACCTGGCCATAGGGCTGGTCCATAATGGACAGTACAAGATCAAGACTTTTGATGCAAATACAGGGAACCATGATGTGGCATCTGGTTCTACTGTCCTCCACCTGGAGCAGTCAGACCAGGTGTGGCTGCAGATCTTCTACTCTGAGCAGAATGGACTTTTCTTTGACCCTTTCTGGACGGACAGCACCTTCACTGGTTTTCTTATCTACCCCGACCAGGAATATCTCAATGAGTCTGACAGAAAAGCTAATGCTCAGGGTGACAGTTAAAATCCTCCTCCAGATAGGTGTTTGTTTTAGACCAGTAATTGGCTAAACATTAAATCTAAATGAGAAACCGATTTTTTGTTTTAAGTCTGCCCCACTTGGGTAGACCAGTGTATTTCAGATGTTTCTAAATGTTGACACCAGAGGGCGCAAAAGGAGAAAAAAAAACAGCCACAGTTTGGAAACCTTTGAAATTATTTGACATGAGAAGTTGGCTGAAGAATCCTTCAGAGTGCTTTGTTGCGGACAGTTTTAATATGCTGTATTGTTTTTAACTATACTATGCAAAGACAATAGGCTACAGTTGATAATGACATTAAACCTGCCCACTCAGTCTACAGTTTGTGTTCTTGAGTAGGATACCTAAACCATGTGAGGTTCAATGTGTGTGACTAAATTCAGTCGAAATGTTGAGTTTCATCTTTTGCAGATTTAAAGCAGACATGTTAAGTAGGCCTATCAATAATCTTTAAATCTTTTTTTTTAATGTTCGGGCTTTATCTCATTTAACAGATTGAGAATCATATTGCTCAATGCTCACACCGCAGATAGAGCAGAAACAAAAATCAAAAGTAATTGAGATCAAAATTAAATTAATAATGTCTTAATATTTGTTTTATTGAAATACTCTATCATTCCTAAATTGCTACTTTTCTACTTCTAACTTCTTATCTGCACATTTAAAAGTAGGCTCTCTGAAAGCATTGCCCTATATTTCAAATAGGCCTTAAATAACAATGAATGAACGACCACAAACAATCAAATGAACAAATTAATAATAATAAAGATTTAATTCCAAAAACAAACTAGCATATTATGAGATGTGTGGTTTAAAACTGTAGTTTTTCGTCTTTCTCAACGTAAACGAAGCCATCAACTAAACACACTAAAAAATATGTATAACGGTGGGAACAGGCCTACGTTTTTAAAAATGAAGATAACTTTGGTAGCATGGTGTAGTAAAATCAGGCCTTTTGTGGAGAAATGTGGGTGTTTGTAGTTTTGACTCTGCCCTCCAAAGGACTACAACTCCCAGGTTAGAGGAGGGCCCTTCACGTCGAGCGCACGAGCCTTGCACCGTAACAGCAGCAGCTGGTGCAGCCGACGACGTTACTTTGTTAGACCGGAGACACCGGAGAGACACGGACGGGCAGAATTTCTCGGAATAGTGTGAACAGTTTGGAGGAGAACGACGCGACCGGACGCCTGTTGCCGGGATTTTGCGGCGGCAGGTGTTTTATGAACTTATCCGCGGATTTAAAAGGTTGTGTTTTCGCCGAGAAAAACGTTGTTTTCTCAAAGTTGAGCCGAAGAGGAGTTCAGGATGTCGGACTGAGACAAAGGGGTCTGGGGGGCAATCCCGTCGGAGCGGTGAGTGGCACATGTACTGATCTCCGAGATAAAGAAGTTCACCAGGTTGCTGTAAGAAATAAGCCGTGTTTAGTGTTTAGTCCCATCCCCGTGTATTGTTTGTGTTTTTGAAAGAGGCTTCAGTTAAAGGGCTCAGTGGACACTTAACTTGTGTAGCCTCTCTGTGTGTCCGCCGTCTCGTGGTGCGGACGCCTTCACAATCAGAACCAAAGTGTGGGATTTGTTAGTGAGGTTGTATGTGTTGTGAATAGCCATGTGAAAATGACACGACCTAAAATAAGGCTGCTTTTTTTTTTTATTCATTTGACCTACAGCGTGGCCAAGCGGGCATTTAACTGAGCCATTTAAATTCCCGAGCAGAGAAAATGGCCTGTGCAGGCAAAGAGAGAGAGAGAGAGAGCTCTGCTCAGGGATAAGCTAGGTGTTAGAAACTTAATGAACCCTCTTGTGTTTCAAATGAAATGTCTCACTTCAGTTTCAGACTGTAAGCCTATAGTTGATTGAATCGTTAAATCCTTTGAAATTAGCATTAATAAAAGACTGTTGATCTCATCCTCTCTTTGTAGCCTTTGAGTTTTATATATATATTTATATTAAACTTTGTTTCAAGTTTTGTGGTTATTCTCTGACCTATGATGCCCTTCTTGAAGTGTCTGAACTCTGACTTTGGACACATCTGTCTCAGCAGGTAAAACTTGTGTGTGGAAGTCTCCTCTGGATGGGAAAGATGGAGAGGGAGTTGCAATGGTGGAAGGGACAGCTAGCTGCAGATATCCATCAATCCCTCCGCATCAAGGTGAGTCTGACATGGTTATAAGCATTCAATAAATAAGTAATCAACCAAATCGAATAAGTCCATCAAAGAAAAATCATTGGCTACCCTTTTCTCTGCTGCCAAAGCACACTTTTAAGATTGACTTACATTCAACGTTTTGGGGTTCTGAAATATAAATTATACATGTTTTGTTGTTCTTCAGAGTTCTTTGATTTTAAGTCAACATCTGTATTATTAGACCTTTGTCATATTTTTCAAGGTGAAGTGACTTATGCATGACTAAATGATAGATGGCTTAATCAGGACTGGATATATTTGTAAATGATACATAATTAGTAAATGCAGTGTTTTGAAGATTGAACACTAAGAAAATCTTAAAACGTTTTGGTAAGAGAACCAGCAAACTGATGAGAAACCAAAGTGGTGATTACTTACAAATGTAATGTTACATATCTCTTCAGAAACTATATTTAAAGTTGTGCGGAAATTATAATTACATGGCCCTGTTGTCTATTTAAACCAGATCCAAATTAGATTACATTGAGGAGTTAAGGCTCATTAATTGAGAATGTCTTAATTAACCTCGAAGCGTGATCATATTTCCTCCCATGTGTCACTTTAATGGAGACATCTGTCAGCAGACTGGCATGTTGGAGCTGGGACTGTGCTGCCAGCTTCACGCTGACAGAGAAGAATACAGATCAGGTTTTCGATATCGTGTTCCAGAGAGTGTACATAGGTTCTGTTTGTGATTCAGATGTTTGTGAGTCTTCATAATGAGTCATTGGCTAAGACTATGTACAGTCAGTTTGCTCATGCTGGACGGTGTGTGACTCAGAGTGAGCTGTCAATTATACTGAACGTTTTTACGCAGAGCTGGAAACTAAACAACACACCCACTTACTATAAAGAGAGGCAGAGACGGTGGCTCGATTGTTAATTTGGATTGTCCTTTATCAGCATTTCAGGTCAAATTCAAGAAATATCAGTGTATACTGTATCTACTGTATAACACACTGCCCTAAACGCTGTAATAATATTAGTTCCACTTTGTGTCTGGTAAGTTTTGTGAACTGAGAATTGCTAGACACATCTGACATAAATAGAAACAGATTTAAGGAGATAGTTTATTGAGATAAAAAAAACAGCAAAGAAAGGAACTAATCATGTTTTTCTTTTGCTAATCGAGGGTTTGAGTTCTTTTTCAATAAGGCTTTGTATCTAAAGTGTCACAAAGTTGTAAAAAAAATACAGCTCAAGGGCACATCTTGTATCGCTACTTATGTTTGAAATTATTTCATAATTTATAGATTGCTATCAATGCAGTTACAGAATAGTTTTCAGTGAATCCATCCATCAATGCCTCAGAAGTTGTTGCATCACAGCTGCTTAAAGATACTGAATGAGTTTTGGGATGTTTCCCTTTTTTCCCCTCAAAGGAATGAAGATTGGACCTTCATGGTTTATCATGAGCTCACTTTGACTACTTAGGTACTCCGTATCTGTCCACTGAATACTTTAATATTTGAAGCACCTTTGAATCAGAGCTCTCAGATCACATTGTTTTAAATAAGTTTTGAATTACTTGAAAAGAATGGTAATTCTTAGATAATTGTTCAGTTAATTTTTCTTAGAGATGTACTGAACCCAGCGTTGCAATTCTTATTGAAAGAGCTACAAAATAATATTGCTGAATAAAAGTTTGTAAACATTAAAATTATTCTTAAGAGATTTGTCTGAACTTTGTGCTGACTTCACATACAAACAGGAAGCAGCAGCATCTGTGAGGTCAATTAAACATTTTAAACTGAGTTGAAGGAATTGTACTTGTTATCATATTGAAGGAGCTATTCCATATCGTCTGAATGTCTTGATGACGATTTGTGGGAGAATGTTAAAAGTACCCAAAGATCATTATTGAACAGTGACGTGGGTCAGCACCGCCAGTCCAATATCTGATATCTACTCACTTAAATATTGGACCAGATACCGATATTAGATCAAATCTGTCCCATCTCTATTTTCTATGCTCATCAAATGTGAAGGTTTTCTGCATTTGTCTTTCTACATAATTTGAGGAGAAATATGCTTTGGTGTTAATGATTAATTCATTCATTGTTTTTCTTGATAATCAATAGAAAATGACTCACTATCTGCTGATGCTGTGAGCACTAAAGCAATCTTAGGAGTCACCTTGGACTATTTTAAATTATTTTTGTAATGTAATTAACAGCTTAATAAGAAGGAATCTTTAATTGCAGCCTTATGTTCTTATTAACCTTTTTTAATTAGGCGTTTGCTTGACATTTTAATAGAAGACTTTATAGTATATTGAAATGTTGGAAGCCTTGATGTGTGTATTTTCAGATGTGGAAACACTAGAGGACTAGTAATGTTTGTGAGAATCAGTATCAGAGCTGTGTGTAAAAAGCCTTCACACAGTGTTCAGATTTCCTGCATGGCGCCCGCTCCCCCACCGTCTCTTCCAGCCTTAATGACATTTGCTGCAGCAGTAATGCCCTGATGTGGGAGATAGCGCTGGTTTGTAGCATGTGGCAAATTATCAGACATGCAAATCAGGCAGAGGCAGCTGTGGAATCCTTAATTATGGTGTGGGTCCCCCACAAAGGCACCTCTCCACCCAACACAGGAGAACCCCCCCCAGTCTCCCCCACCCTTCACATCCACCCCCATTCTCCTGCTGCCCTTGTACCCCTAGACAGACAGATGGACCAGAGGCAGAGGCTGGAGCAGTGGGAGGAGAGGAGAGTTTGGGGAGGATTGGGTGGTGTGGTTGTGGCAATGGGGGTGGAGTGGCTGTATGTGGATTTGGGAGGGGGGGGGGATACTATTTATTTTTGGATTCCTTCAGTGTGTTTGTCTTAGCATCATTGTTGTTTAAGTTCAGCTCAAAATAAATCACTGACATTTTTCCTGAAACCTGACCGTGTTGTAGCAGCACTTTGTATTGTAACTGACTGTTGCATGTCTATTAGTCTACTTTGCAAATCCGAGCTTTAGAGCCCAATGACGTCCATTAGGAACAGCCTATGGTCTGAATCCTTCCTAAACAACAGTCCTGACATGTTGTTGATGTTTTCTGTATTGCTCCTCTAGTAAGGACCCCTCACGGTTTGGAACTAAGGAGATTAATCAACCAATCCCAAATCTCTTATTAAATCCAAATCAG